TGGTAATATTGGTTCCTATAATTTTAAAAATGCATATAAAGATAATAAATTAACATTGATTGAGTAATTTCGTTTTAACCTTGTTAATCACATGTAAATTAGCCTAGTGTGATTAAAAATAAAAGATAAATGAGCAAAAAAGTCTCCTTTATATTTGGTTTAAACAGAAACGTAAGATGCAAGTTGGATTACACACATATATATATATATATTAATGACCAACTGACAAAATTAATTATATGTCTTTAAAAATTAATTTCATTAGTCCCGGCTTATGGCCCTTATATATATATATATATATATATATTTTAAACCATAGAACTAGTTGCAAATATATCAACTTGAAGGGATTAGGAACAACATAATAAAATTATAGGAATTAAAAACAAAGCACAATCAAAATCAAAGTAAAGACACCTATTGTTATAGTTTCTCTTAATTAAATATGCATCTCTTTATGCCAGTCGCTTGGCCAAATACAAGTGAGGGTGAACACACACCCCTCACTTGGAAAAATTACATATAATGGATATAAAAGTTTAAATTTTGTACCCCTTTCTCCTTATATTTTGCATCCCATGTTTTTAAATATTTTGAATAATAAATTTATTTGTAATAAATTTATTTGATTATTTCCCTAAACTTGAATTCAAATTTTCAATTTTTTTGACTCAAAGTCCAAAAATATAATAAAATATATATAATTGAGTTTTTAATTATTAAAATGTTTTTGAATTTGTTAATTTTTAAAAAGAAAATTACCCATAAACCAAGCCCTCTCTCATCCACTATTGTATTTGATTGTGAACATGCTTTAATCATTGATCATTATCTGGAGAGATCCCAGCTGGGCACAGAAACCATTGCAATAACAATCACGCCACCCGTTATGATTATGGAGGTTTTAATCCCTCGCCCTCATCTTTCTAATTCAGGAGTAGGACCACCGTAACATAAACATCTTTCACTACTTGTGACTAGGGTTGTTCAGTTTAGACCCGTCTCGATTGGCCCAGTATCATCCTGATCATATCGAAACGAGTCTTGTCCCGGCCCGAAAATAATTGGGACGAGACAAGAAAAGGGTTCGGGACGGGACGGGACACGGAATTACTATCGGGACATCCCGTCCCGTCCCGAATATTATATATATATATTATTTTTTATTTTAAATATATTAATATAATTTATACTTATATTAATTATATCAATTATAATTTTAATACTTGCAATTCTTATTTAAAACTAAAGTTTTTTTATATTGATAATTTTAATGGCATGGAGTAAACATGGCAATATCTTTCTTTATAATATATTAATTATATTAATATAATTTATTCTTATATCTATCTATTTAATAACTTTTATTTATAACATATTTCTTGCTTATTTTTCGAAGAGTAATTAGCTTAGTACATCTTCACTAAAGTAAAAGAACAATGATTTGATGTTGTGTTTGACTTGCCTGTTGTTGCTAATCTTATAGCATAAAGATTACTTGTATTTGTTATTATAATATGTAGTTGTGATTAATATAATTTAATAATTGATTTTAAATTATTGTTATTTATGTGATTGTGTTGTTTTGATTTTAAACTTAATAAATTATATGATTTAAAATTTTAATGAACGTTATTATTTAGATCTTTTTTTGATATTATTCCATTTATCGGGACGGCGGAACGTCCCGATCTTGTCCCGGTCCCGGTCCCGTCCCGACTCTTAACGGAACGGAACGACTTTCGGGACGGGACGGGACAGGGGTGTCCCGGTCCCGTCCCGTCCCGTGAACACCCCTACTTGTGACGCAATGTTCCCCAAATATTTGTGCCTATTGTTCTCTCTTCAATATTCTCCCTCAAACAAATTATAAGATTTTTTTTTAATTATATCTCAAAATATAAAATATTTTACTAATATTAAAGTTTTATTAAATATATTTATTTTAATATTTTTTATTTAATTTCAATCCTTCTCTTTTTTTAATATATTAAATGTAGGGTATTTTTAGAAGTTCATAGTTACTATGATTTAAAAAAGATAAGATTATTAAATATATTTAATAAATATTAATATGTGATGTATTATTTAGAAGTGTTTTATAATTTTAAAATGAAGAGAGTATTGTTTTTAATAATTATTCCTTCTTTTTTAGTTTACTCGCATGTATCCCCTCTGACATCGGCGCTCATGGTCAATTATTGAAGAACAAATCCTGTCTACTTAATACTCACTCCGTATTTAACGTATGAACAAAACAATTACCACCTTCACATTCCCCATCCCCCGTGACCTCTTGCGCTTCCATCTTGAGAACTTGCAAGACATCAGCTATCAAGATCAGGGACGGACCCACATTTAGAATCGAGGGGACAATTGTCCCCACTAATTCAAGAAGAAATTACTTAAGATGATCACAAATAATTTTAGTTGCTCCCTGTAGAATATTTCAATTGCCCCTTACTTTAAAAAAAAAAATCTTACTTATTCCTTTATAAAAGTTTATTTATCTCATTATTTAAAATTTTATGTGTGTTATAAACTTAAATAGCAATAGTTTTAAGAACAGGAAGGGAAAAATTTAAGAAAAAAATTGTTTATAAAAAATTTATTACAAAAAATTCTCTACCATACAAAAGAGATATATCGGTTTTGTTTAATGAAAATTAAAAACATAATTCTAATAAATATAAAAATATTTATATAAAGAGAGTATTTTATGTTATTATAATGTTGTGTTTTATGCATTTTTCAATATTCAATTTTATTAACTTATACCATTAATATAATTTAATAGATATTTAAAATTATTTATTTTACAAACATATTAATATTTATTTTAAGTATAAATTATGCCCAAATTAATTATTTTTTTCTGGGTCTGTCACTGATCTACATAATGGATGAAATTAGTTGGTTTAATCAATATATTAAAAAAACATTTAATGTTTAAATTCAATTTTTTTAAAAATTATTTAACTCTTATGAACATGATACTTTGTTGCGACACCTACGTATTGAAAGTGGAAAGAAGTACAAATCTGAAAAAGGGGAATAGGAAGAAAATGTAAGAGCATGATATGAAAATTCAAGGCATGGAGAGGGAGAGGGGGAGGATTGTGGTCTGATGTGGTTGATGTCTACGTTTTGGGCTTTTTTGATCAAGTCTGATAAAGGGGATCAAAGCCCAAAGAACAAATTAAGGACATTTTTCTTATATCATACACAAACTCTGCAAAACAAACCATTTTAAACCTGCAAGTAGTATATTTTTTGTATATAAATAGTATATAGATTGATTTTTAGTTTTTCATTTTTATTTTTATTTTTATTTTTTAAAAAAATATTTTAAATTTTAAGTAAACACAGTTTTAATTTTGCAATCTAGATATTTTTATTTTAAAATAAGCTTTTAATTTGAGCTTTCCATTAAAAAAATATTGAATGGATTATAGAATATCTTCTTTTCATATTAATTTTTAAATTTTTTATTTTATAAATATTTATTACTAGTTGGATACTATTACTATTCAATTAATAAATAAATTGTAAATGATATATTTAATAATTTTTAATCTCATTGCAATAATAACACCTAGTTTCAACTTTTAAAATAAAAAACTGAAAAGCCGAGTACAACGTTGAACGGAATGATCTGTTCATCAACAAATGATGAGTAAAATCACGTAACGTAACCTAAATTATTTACGGTAGATTTTTTTTTTCACCAACAATAATTTACTGTAGATTGAATATTAAAATTTTGACTGTAATTGCGGAATCGCTGAAGGAATATTGCCATAAATGGGGTAAGTCATTCAAAACTATGCGGAATATCTCCAAGAGAAGCTGAGGATAATTTTGTACAATCCAAATTTATTTAAATAGTCTAAATTTAATATTTTTATTTTTATTTTATTTTATTAAAATAAAAAGTTATATAATAAATCTGTTCATCCGTCTGAACAGTTTAAATTTAATATATATAGTTCATATATAATATTAAATTTAGACTATGTAAATTAAGTTTGGACTATACAAACTGATGAATAGATTTATTAATTTTTTTTATAATTTATATAATTTTTTATTTTAAAAAAATAAAATAAAATAATTAAATTTCAACTATTAAAATAAATCTAAATGGTTCACATTTATCCTCAGCTGCAAGGAGGCTTTCCTTAGATGAGGGAAGCCAAGTCCAATAGACAAACATGCCGCAACTATGGCGTTCAGAACCAAAACACTAACGTTTTATAGTGATAGTTTTTTTCTTTTCTTTTTTTAAACCACAAGATTATTGTTATTATAATAAATAAATATTATAAAATTATTATTTTAATATTTAATAAATAAATAAATTAAACTCATTATTAAAATTTAACTTGAAGAGTTTATATATAAATTTTGATCTAAATAGTTTAGAACTATATTAAAAAAGTTAGCAATGTAACTATAAAATATTTTTATTTTATTATCCTGTAAAAGATAATATCATTTAAGACATGTTTGAGTATTAAACATTAGCACTTTTTTTTAATAGAAATTCTAAATTATTTAGACCAAAATTTTTATTTGAACTATTCATGTCAAATTTTAAGAAATTAATATTCATTTATTTATTTATTAAATATTAAAATAATAATTTCATAATATTTATTTATTATTATTATAATACCTTTGTGGTTTAAAAAAAAAATTAACACTACAAAATGGCAGTGTTTTGGTGCCTAGCACCACAGGTGAGCTCTGAAAGTGTGAAACCGAATCCTGCAACGTCAAGCGAAGCCAGTGAACGAGGCATGAGAATCTGACACGTGGCAAATGGCTGTGACCGATGAGTTGATTATGAATTAATGTGTAAAAAATACGGTAATTAGAGGATGAGAAATAAAGTAGAAGAGTAGTCCTAAATTTAAGGGGAACGCGAGCGTACCAATTGGATCGACTAAAAGGGACGGTGTGGCCCCCCATCCTCGCATCCCTTCCTTTGGCGCAAGCTTTTGTATTTAAAATAAAAAGAATTTCCAATATCACATTCACAAGGATCTGAAGACCACCACCATTCAGAGAGCGAGCCAGCGAATCCACATATCCAAAATATGTCTTGGCAATCTTACGTAGATGAGCACTTGATGTGCGATGTCGGTGATGGCCACACCCTCGCTTCCGCTGCCATTACGGGTCACGATGGCTCTGTATGGGCTCAGAGCTCTAATTTCCCTCAGGTCCAATGCTTTCTCTCTTTGATCCTCCCTTTCTGCGCTTCCTTACCAGATCAATCGTTTCCTTCCGTTTTCATTTGTTATGATCGTCCGTTCTGCTACGTCCTTGTGTGGTTTTGGTGCATGCGCTTGTTTCTGAAACTGTCCCGACTGTTTTCCTCCCTGTTTCGGTGTTTACTGTTTTATCTTTGCCATTCTTCGACCAATCACCCGTGAGTTGTCGCAATGTGGTTGCATTGTCATCTCTGATTGGTTTTAGATCGAGTGTCTCGTCAGTATCTGACTCTTTTCGTTACAGGATCGCCGGATCTACGATGATCATTGCAAGGGCATGCATTTTCCCGAAATCAGTTTTTGATTGACGCTTCTTGAATTGTCTCTTCTACTTTCTATGTTTGACTGAGCTGATTTTTCATTAGAGATTTGAGACTCATTTACTCTCATTATCTGTACCACTCGACGTTGCTCGTTCTGATCGCTCTGCATCTAGAGTTTACGAATGCTTATGAAATCGATATTTCCGGATGTCAAAATCCATCTATTTAGGCTCTGAGAACTGCATCTCACCTTTGACTTCCTATTTCCTATTTCTTATTCGTATCATCATATGCAGGTGATGTTTGGATTGGTGCATTCACAAATTTTATCCAAATTTATCTTTCACCTTGCCTTTTCTTTTTTCTTTTTCGCCACAATTTTTCACCGTGTCTTATTTGACTGATGATGCAAGACTGAGTTGTCTATATTTGTGTCTTATTTCGTGACAATTGAGCTTTGAAGTTCTGATCCATCGTAATATATATATAAATATACATTTTTTTTTTCAGTTTAAACCTGAAGAAATCAAAAATATCATGAAAGATTTTGACGAGCCGGGTCATCTTGCGCCTACAGGATTGCATCTTGGAGGTAACAAATACATGGTAATCCAGGGAGAGCCCGGAGCTGTCATTCGGGGGAAGAAGGTAAAATATATCATAAAAACTGTCCAATCTCAAAGCAAAATTTTTCGATACAAGATTCATGGCGCCCTTTCTTAGCATCTGCCGGTTCAGGACACGTACCTTGGAACTGATGAATGTTTCCAGAGTTTCAAAAGATGCTAATACCCCCCCCCCCCCCCCGGCATGCCTTTCAGTGACAATAATCTTGCGTGATTCAATATACATCAACTCACGCAAGTACCTCTTGAAACGTGTGGGTGGTCGCTTAACTGGATGTATTCTGTTAATTGTCCTTCCATATCGTCACGTGAAAGTCAATTTCGACTTTCTCAGTTTAAAGAACATTTTGTGGATCATGAACGTTACATATGATATGAGACTTTTACCTTCGGCACCTACAAGATCTCAGCAACCAAACGGTTAACTTATTTACCTGTTGGGAAAGACCGTGTTGATGCAGACATTCTCCGAACTTAAATAAGTTGTCTGTCCTTTTCATTGCTCTCTTCCATTCTCTTACAAATGATATGAAGAGAACAAAGATTCATTTGAATGAGGGAATATGTAACTTATCTTCTTGATTCAAAATTAGCATCGTAATGACATATAATTCTCAGTCCCGGCATTAAACTCTAGAAATTCTCCAAAATTTGGAACTTTCTGTGTGATGAACATCTAATTCAATTAGAGAGGAATCTACTAGCTGTTAAGTAATTTTCCCTATATATTTTGTTTAGTATGTTTTTTTTTTTTTTTATGGAACTGAATTTTGAGTGTGGTTTGGGCAGGGATCTGGAGGCATCACCATAAAGAAAACTGGGCAAGCTCTAATTTTTGGCATCTATGAGGAACCTGTCACTCCTGGACAATGTAACATGGTTGTTGAGAGGTTGGGAGATTACCTCGTTGATCAGGGTCTGTAGACCAGGATCTCCCGTGATCTGGATTTCGAACGGCTGTCTTTTTGGCACCATATTTTTTATTTTTGAGTTTTGCCACGCACCAAGATCTTCTACGTTTCACCTCCTTAAGTTGGGAGTTGTTGCAGATAATAACCACGTGAGAATTTAACATTTATCTGTTGTTTGAATATTCTGATTTTATTCTGGTATTTACAACAATTCGTGTGACTGCTAAGCACCTGAATCTCTTCCCTGTTTCTCCTGTATGATTGACATTTCGCTACAGAAAGGGCTCATCATCGATAATCACGTTTAGTTGCTTGACAATGGATGATTACTTGGTTGGTGGCATTTAGTTTATTCTAATAACATACTACCTCCATTTCAACCAAAAGGGAACAGAGATAGCCCTCTGTCTGGTAGGTACGAGACGGTCCTGATGAAACAACTCCTAGAAATTAAGTATTGAATTTTTTATGAACAAGAAGAAAAAATCAATGAAATATATTTAAATCATATGAGCTACCTACAAGTTACTTTGGGTTCCCAATAGATTTAAACTGATTGTATGCTTATATATTGATGCAGGAATTAGTTAATGAATCTGGCCATTTAGCAAAGTAAAAGGAAAATTGAATTGAGCAAAGAGAAAATGAAAATAATGCCGTGACTAATAATTCTTCAAAACTGTTCTTTTCTTACTTTGTCCCACCCCTTTTCAAGCTTTTCTTAAATTTTTTACCATCACTTTTTTTGTGGAGTTAAAAAAAAAAAAAAACTTCAGTAGACCATGCAGTTCCGTTCTTTCATTTCATCTTCTGGTTCCACAATTGCGCCCAAGGGCGTTGGGAGTTGGGACTATCGTTCACCACTTTTACTCGAGAAAAGGAAAAGAAAAATGAAACACAGTTAAAAACAAATGAATACGTCCAATGCAGCTAAAATATGGATGCACCCATACATCTCTTCCTTTTCATTCAACACAATTTTGAAAAGCATATTTTCTCTTCAAGATCTCCCCCTTTTTTTAGAAAGAAAATTTTGAAGCAAAAAACGTGGGAGTCCCACATTTTTTCCTCATCTACTTCCTTTCCTTCTTATAACCTCATGCTATCCGTCCAAACTGTATAATTTTCTTACTCCTACACTCCCTTCCTTTCTCACTACTTCAAGCCATCCAAACAGTATAAACTTTACCTCCTTTTTAACCTCCTATTCTTCTCTTCCTTCCTGCTTTTCGCTCCATCTCTTTCTATCTAAACATAAGATTAAAGTTTCAACTAGAAAAAATGGGAGTTGGCTTACATATTCTGGTAGCCATGAAGAGGCACCCTAATATTTTTTTTAAAAAAAAAAAAAAAAAGCAAAAGCCTTGCATACAAAATTAAATTACCAAAGATGTCAGTCATGTTTGCCACTTTCGACCAATCTCTTGGCATACAAAAACTAGCAGCAAGAATGCTCTACAGCTGTTAAATCTTTTTTCCCATAACAGCAGAGAGAACAAGTAGTAGTTTATAATTTTCTCAAGCATCCAAGAGAAAATGTATGTTTCTGAAATCATTACCTTCCCCCCACTTGGAAGTCAAAGCAGCACACAGCTCAACAAAGCAAATCATGCTGCCCCCTTCAACTATCAAGCTTTTCAGGCTCCCCCACCACTCAATTCAAGGAAGAGAATCGTTGCAAGAAGAAAACTGAAACCCCACGAGGTTATTTCTCTCCATGAAGATGATGGAGTTGAAGATATCGCTGTTGTGTTACTTGCCATTGTTTTGTTATTTCTGCATAAAAATAGTGAAAGAGGGCATGCATGTCAAATGTGGAGTCTCATGGCAATTGCACGCATAATTCAAGCCCAACTTGAATTGTCAAGTATTGAACTTACCCAGCTCTTGTGTAAATGCAGTTGTCATAGCCTGCAAAAGTGATGATAAATGATAAATTGTCTACAGAAATATTTTGACAAGAAACAAATAAATCGAACAAGTTTCACCACAGACTACTAAGTCTCTTTCAGTGAGACTAGATGACAGCAGGAAGCTAAAGAAAGACTTCAACAGAATTCCTGTATACAGGGGGCCACTTTATATAGTCCACCCAGGCCTAACTCCTCACACTGTTAAGCTAAGACTCCTACTAACTAGTACTACCATACACGTGTATCCCTATCTTTCTCAGAAACGTTTTTAACATGCTCAAATTCTCACAGATATTTCAGTAAATAGTTGCAATGACAGGCTTGCTCCCAGCCAGCACCCAAGCACACCCAACTACAAACTAAAATTTTTTCTAGTGTTACAATTTTCAATTTGACTAGCTTTCTAATGATAGCGTTTCTTTAACATGCTCAGATTTACAATTACATGGATGTTGCAGGATTATAAAAGCATCCAGCATACCAGACCACAATGTCAAACAAAATATATTATTCTTGATATTACTTGCGGAGTTAGATATCGATTTTTTATTTTTATCTTTTTTACCAGCAAGTTAGATATCAATTTGACTAGACATATCAGTGTAAGCATGTGCAAATAGAGAAAAAGCCCATAGGTTTCAATGAACGGGTATATAATGATTCCGGAGCTAACATGTATTTCACAAACACAAACAACAAAAAAAAGAGTTAAAAAAAAAAAAGACAGAGAAATGAAACGCAGAATTGGTGGTTGGGTTGCTATGAGCATACTTGGATCTTTGTCAACTTTTACACCTGTCCCGCCAAAACTGCAAGCAACATCAGAAGCTCCATTTTGCTGGTAATAGCTATTAAAAGCATAAGAGGCATGGGAAACTAGATTATCTGGCTCAAAACACGGCTGGCTTGGCTGGATAGCAGTACAGTCCACATTGCCAGGACCACAAGCCCAATCTATGGCATTCTGCAAGTCAATTTGTGAGGCCTTACTTGAAGCAATACACCAAGTTGTACCATTTGATCGGGTTACATTTGCCTCTGTTGTCATATCAATAGCACCTTTTCCAGTGAAATCTAGGTTATACACACTTGTCTGGTCTGGATAATATAATCCCCAATTCCTCTCAGATTCCAAACCAGGTTTTCTGTTTTCATTGAACAGTGAGAAAATGTAGACATCTAGCTCCTCTCCAGGCTTCGCAGGAGTACCGGTGTTATTGATGACATGCCTTATCAGATTGGTATTATATGTCTGAGCATTATCAGGAGTAGCAGCAGTCTCCTTAGGAGAACCTTTGGAGGGCCAGCCTGTTTCAGTGACCATCACCTTAATTGTTCTGAAATTTAAAGCCATCAGTGCAAAATAAATAGCATCAACCTGAGCATCAAACATGTTTGTGTATAGCAAACCAGTGTTTGGATCAATTACTTCGGAGGATGATTCAAATAGTGCATAATCCAAAGATACTTTTCTTGGGGAATCTCTGTAAGCATAATAAGGATATATATCAATCATAAAAGGCGACTGATTCTCAGCAAGAAATTCCAGCATTGGCTTCAAGAAATATGCATGGCTGCTATTAAAGGCCCCAGCAGAAGGTGGGAATGATCGGGACAAAACCCCAAGGGAATGGGTACTGGAAACTTTAATCCTTTTATGCAGGCCAGCTTTCTTGAGTGCATTGAGGACATTTTTCATGGCAGGTACTACAAATGCAGAGGCATTGTTGGGGGCTTCAGTGACTTCCAATCCAACAGTTATGTACGTGATCTTAGTGGCTGGGTAGTATGGAAGGATACTGTTTTTCAGCCAAGTGTCTGCGTTTGATTGAAACTGCGAGAATGCAAGTAAATCTGAATTCGAAACCCCAACCATTAGTTCAACTCCAGTGTTAGCAAAGGCCTTGAGAACCTGTATGTTAGAATCATAGATCCTGATGTATTTAATTTTATGAAGTTGAACCAGCTGAGCCACCTTATCAGGTGTAGGGAGATCATCAGCATTTCTTCCATAGCAAACCCCAACAAAACTCCCAGAGCAACAATCTGACAAAAAATTTCACAATCCTGTAAATCGTGCTAATTGATTGTATCTCTGAGATAGCAGGGTGTGTGAGAGAGAAAGAGAGAGTGAGAGAAGCCGGGGGGGTTGCTTTTGTTGCAACTCCAATCCAAATTAAAATTCTTAACCAGAAGAAACATGTGCATATGTTGTGGATACAACCAAATCAAAATTTCCATACTTGTTAGTCTACGTATTGTCAGGCTTCCTAAGTAGCGACTTAAAAAATGAGCTTTAGAGGCAAAACTAATCACATTATCAGTTAATAACTAATTTTTACATACAAACTAAATAATCTAAGTGGTTGGTCGGCTCAACATATGAACTATGTCATATAATAAACTGATTACCCACTTCAAGGGATTGACGTCTAGGAAGATCACTATATATCTTCTTTCAATAATGAAAGTATTCTGCCCTCATTTTCCAAACCTTCCTCAGTTTGTTCGCACGTTGCACCCCTCTCAGACACATCCAACATTCATCGGATTCATAAATTCACAAATTATAGAAGGTAAAGGTTCAGAAAAACATCCTCCATAAAGAAATATCCTAGCGTTGAAGACCTAAATATTACAGTTCAGTTGCTCGCCATAAACAATCTATCTACTATACATACAAATGTAGTTGCACTGCCATTAATTGGCACATCTAACAAAACACATGAAGTCTCTACAGGAGAAAGGTGCGTATGAGTGTTCAAAAATTTTCAGATTTTGACAGAAAAGAATGGGCATGATCTAAAAGCAATGTGCATGTTTAGTATACATAACTTTAATTTTCAGAAGCTAAGCTGAGCTCCGGGGAGGGCAAGAACTGTCACTGCAAAACCTGGCGGAAACAATACAGTTCGAGAAAGGGGCATATATCTCACAGCAATATGCATATTAACTTTAAGCTGAGCTTCAGTGGAAAAAGACTGTCATTGCAAAATCTTGCAGGAACAGTACAGTTTGGAAAAGGGGAAGGAGCACCGATAATCTTGCATGCAATGTTCGAAAGCTTTAAAAGCAACTTTCAAAAAACATAAATTAGTGCTACAAGGAAACGGCGATCTGATTCAGACAAAAAATCGCCCGAATAAAAACCCAGAAACTGAAAACTAGAAGTGCCCGATAACCAAAACACATTCCCACCAACGAGACATACACTAGCTGGAGAAAGAAAGAGGTAGATGCGATTAAGGAAGGAATGAGCACAAACCCAGAAGCATTAGCAGAAGGAAAGCCGCAAAGATGAGTCTGAGCCCCCTCGCCATTATTTCCGTCTCTTCTCTTCTCTTCTCTCGCCTCTAAGGCAACAAGGGCCGCAAGTTCACTTCTTTCTTCTTTCTTCTACTTATTATTGCTCGACTCCGCAGAGCTCCAACGTTCCAATGCCAGAAAAGCAACGGTACTGTCCTTCTGTCTTTTTACTCTACAAGTGGTTCGAGAACAGAGACCTCCTCTTAGCCTATTAATTAACCTTTTGTTTTGTAGTCGACCAATGGCCTTGTATTGAGGAACAGCAATTCAGAGTGTCAGCATAAGCCATCGAACCTCAGGTTTATTTATGAATTTTGGTTTAGAGGCGCTTCTCGATTCCGGAATTTGGCATGTCTGTCCTGTTTCTCACTATTTTTATGCGCCCATCTGCAGCAGGAAAGGGAAAGGGCCAGCAAAAAGGTTGAGGAGCTTAAAGGAGTAACGAGCCTCGTCCTCCAATTTCATTTATTCCCTTGGCCCCTACGTATATAAATACACACACACTGTATTTTTTTTAACTAAATTCTTTATATTAATAAAAATTTATTATTTAATCAGAAACACTTAAAATTATAGCAATTTCCCAGTTTTTTAATAAATATTACAATTATTAACATAGTAATGAATAAAGTACATAATTAATGTATATTTTCTTATTTAAATTAGGAGTAAAATTATTCAATTACTCAAAATTATTATAACATTTTTTCTATTTAAAGACAAAATAAATTTATGAAAAATATATTATATATATGAATTGAGAGAATATTTATTTTATGTGAAAATGAGGAGCACCACGGACATAGTAGAGAAAAATTACATTATGATAGTAAAGTTAATTAATTAAAGCTTCCGTCGACAATGTCCTGCCTAGTATGATTGATTAGGGATGCATTAACTGAACTGGGATATGGAATCTGAGAGAACTGAGAAGCTATCAAGGGATTGTAGATGCTAATGATGGCCAAGTCAAAAGCTTTCCTTGGGCTAGAGAGAGTGCAGGGTGGGCCTCCGGCTACATCAACCATAATTCAATTTAAAAAAAAAAAATGTGCACGAATATTTCATTATGAGAGGCAATCACAAACCTATTTCTCACAACCATTTTCGCATAAACTGGAAAACTGAACCGTTCCACACTTTGTATTCGATAACACAAAACAAATGCCAAAAAGCTTCATATCGAGTTGATATATTATGGAAATTAGGGGGGGGGGGGGGTGTTCTTTTTGCTTTTGTCCTTGTCCCGCGTCATTTAGTCATTGCTGATCTGTTCGCTTCCAGTCTTATGATAGTTTTCTTTGCTTTTGCCTTTCTCTTGATTTGTTTCTTTCCTTCAAGACAAGATATTTTGCCAAATTTTCTTTTTTTTTAGTAAACTGTCATATTTTCTTAAAAGTTTTACATAAAAAATTAATTATTTTAAGGTTAGTAACAATTAAATGAAGGCCTTAATTCACTTGTTATTAAATTTTATAATAATTAATTTTTTTATGTGAGATTTAAATGTAATTTTTTTTAATTTCTTTAACCGCCTATCATTTTTATTCTCATTTTGAAAAACCCCCTGAGACAGCGGACCATCCATATTCCACGTGCACTTCACGTGGCTTGTGCACATGTATTCTTCTATCAATTTTACTCGATTACACTAGACATGAACACTTGATAAAAATTTAAATATTACTTTATTATATTATAATAGACTAGCTCATTTTTTATTGATTTTATTACAAGTATTTTGAATTTCAGTTCAGTAAGAATCTGAGGATTGTGATTCAATTTACAAATCACAGAAGCATCTGGGAAAAAAATTATTCATGTCTTTCTTCTTGTTAAAAACTTTTAAAATATAAGCAATTGAAAAATACAAAAAATAAAATAAAAATAAAAACAATTGCACGCACGTGTTTATCTTGTACTTATCCATTTGAAATAGGGCTGTTACCGGCGCATCCGAAGACAAGCAAAGATCCTGACCATGGATGGTAGGCTAGGGAAGATCTTCCGATTTAAATATTTTAAGTTGCAACCATTTTTAATTTTCATATTTAAACGTTGGTAAAAAAAAAAAACATCATACTTAAAAATATATCCTCAACAAAATCTAAACAACAGTAACTCAATAGCTATACAATGCATCCAACTTTTAATCCTATTCTTTAAAAAAAAAAACATAATTTTAGATTCTTATGATATTTTGATATAAATTCTTACATTTTTTATATATTTTAGATTTTTATATTTTTATTTTTTAATGTTTTAGGTTCTCTTTAATGTTTAAGATTCTTCAATAAAGTAGGGGGACCTAGAACATAAAATAAAAAATATAAAGGCTTAGAAGATTAAAAAAAGAGCAAAAACCTAAAATAAAATGCTTGTAAAATGTAAGGATTAAAATTATGTTTTTTTTTTTTTAATGATACAACATCATGCAGAAAATTTTTGCAACATAAGCCCACATGTCTAACACTTGTCCCTAAATCTCATCGTAACACACTAATTTTTTTTTAAAAAAATAATTTAACTCAACTATATTTGGGTTATAACCACCCAACACATTTTTATATCAATAATTTTAATATAAAATATTTTAGAATTGGCTTCAACTCATACAATATAACATTTCAGATAAATTTTTACCTCCCACGTGCCATTAGGCTAAATCACATTTGTCCATCCTTATACTCCCAACAAGTAAACTAAATCACATTTGTCCATCCTTATACTCCCAACAAGTAAAATAAATAATTTAGTCAATTTTTCAATACAAGCTAGTTATTTGGCCTCATAATCATGTCATTTTAACCAATCCAAAGTAAATCAAATATTAAAATTACAGTCATCCAAATTGTATCAAAAATAGAAATAGTTTAAAAGGCATGATTACATTTATATATTCATATAATTGTCAATAAACAAAAAGCCCTAATGTTGGCAATATAACACATTATAAATCATAAATCAAATACCTAAAAGAGATAGTGGATCTATGCCACTAAGCCTTTGAGACTCCTTCATGTGTCACTCGTGGCTCTTCTCCTGAAAATTGTTAACCACATAATAAGACTCAAAAGTCCCAATAACCAAAGCCAATTTATGATAGTGTGTACAAACAGTTAAATGTGTGCTTACTAAGTGGGAATAAAAAATAATATAATTCCAAAAAAATATAAGAAATGTTATAATATATATAAACAACTATCCTTATATCCCTCCATTAACCTCGAGCCGTAGCCCTCACTTGATGCTAAATTATCCGGCCAAAGATAGATTAGCCCGAGCCCTTACAAGCCACCTATTGAGCTCCAATAGGGACGTACCACGTGGCACATAAATACAAAATAACAAATCTCCCAACACCTCCCACAATAATCAAACAAAATTCATAACAATATTGCACAATTATATAATATTACAAAATTCATAATTTTCTTAATAATCACCCAATTAACATGAAGTAACACTAATCACAAATTAAAAGCATGGTTACCTTATAGCTTTTCAATAAATTACTTCTTGCAATTTCTCTCCCACCACAATCTTCACCAATAACACAATCTACAAATAACATGTTATTTATAAATATTAGTTTCAATTATTGAAACTAATAAAATAATTCTAATAATAGAATTAAAAAATATAACATAATTCTTAATCTCAATCTTAAGTAAAATTTTTAACTCCTCTTTTAATTATTAATAAACATTAAGAATCTAAAAATTAATTTCTAAACTAATTTCTATTATCAAAATTTTCTTTTTATTTTATAAATTCGCACCTAAAATATCTAAAAATTAAAAATTAAGTCTCTAGCTTAGAATCATAATCCTATAGCCATAATAATTTATTTCTCATCCCAAATAATCATCTAAACCTCAATAAATCAACATATATTTTCAGATCTAGTTTAGAATTTGATCCATAAGCCACAAATTCAAAGATCATTAACAAATTTATACTCTAGAACATTTATTATACTACTAACAACCTCAAAAATTATATTTATTCAACATAAATTCATCCCTCTTCCAGATCTTAAATTTTCTACCACCACAAAATTAGAAACCAAAGAGGAAGGATGACTAAGAAAATTTTTTAAAACATTTACTTAGTCTTAAAAATCTTAAAATCACACCCTAAATATCCTATTAAAAATTCTTACCTTAAAACCTAACACCAACGAAACTAGACACTCTCTCTGCCTCAGCTCGCGCACAGGAAAAATAAAGAAATAAAGAAGTGAAGAAAGAAGGAAGGAAGTGAGTTTTTATAAAAAATTTAGTGGGTCCCATATTTTTTTTATTATTTCTTCTTCCCTCTTTCTTCTTCTTCTTTTTTTTATTATTTTATATGATAATTGCATGAGAGGAAGCCAAACTTTCTTCTTCTTCTTCGTCCCCCCCTTTTTTTTTAATACTTTTTTCTTTTTATTATAATAATAATAATTTAATAATATTTTTTATTATTTTTTTTTAAATTTTTTTAATTTTAATTTAGAAATATATCTTAAGTTAGATTTAATAATTATCTCCTACTAATTTATTTCCTCTAAATATTTTTAAAATTTTTATTAATCTAAATTAACTATTAAAATTTAAATTGGGATGTTACACTCATCATCTGTCATCTATAAATACAGTTTTTTTAAAGGAGCAAATATACTCATAAAATGGTCAATCAGGGACATCCAATATCCTAAATTGATAAAAAAGGCAAAAATACTCATAGTGTTACATGAGTATGTTTAAAAGTGATCAGACTATTAACTTTAACCTAACATCATTTACTTTAATCGTTAAATGCTGACTTTACATGTCATGTGTCAACCTTTGCTAGTAGGAACTAATAAAAGGATAAAAATATCCACGAAGTTATCGGCCAAGAGTAAAAATACCCATAAAGTTACTAGAGTTGGTGCAAAAATGATCAATCTATCAAATCTCTTAAATGTTAACCGTTTAGCTGACATATAAATAGAGGTTGACTATTTTTTTACTAATATAAAAAAAATATTCTCAAATAAATTTTTACAGATGTTGATTGATTATCATATGGTACCCATAATTGGTGACCAATCCGTCAAAACTCATGTCATTGGTTTCTTTCCATCGTCATGTATTTCGCCCATTTCCTTCCTCCCTTTTCACTCATTTTTTTTCTGCAAAACTTGATATTTAACATAATGAGATAGGTTGTATACATTCAAAGATCGAGATTAAGCACACATTCTACGTTGCACTATCTTGTGAATATTGTAACAGTCTTAAGCAATTTCATTTATGATAAGTTTAAAATTTTCAAATGTTTTCGCCACTGTTATAAAAAACAAGTAATTTAATTTGATATTCCGTCAAAATGATATTTTCTCACATGATATTTATATAATAATCGATTAACTTTTAGAGAATTTCATTTGAAAATATTTTTTGTTCGTGTTAGTGAAA